AAGGAAACTGGTATTAGGAACCCGATTGTGAGTGAGACTAACTCAAAAAAGGGTAGTTTTATTGTCCATTCTTAAGCCAGGAGATTGGATCAATGTGTAGAACACTTCAGGGATTAGTTCAACTGGCCTTCAGCCACACTTCGGTTACTCACGATCCCCAGTCATCCTGAGTGGCAAATGGACGTAATTCCCCTTAGTCTATATGAAGTTGAGAAAGCTATAGGAAATCTAAAGCGAGGGAGAGCAGCAGGTCCTGATAGATTGACTCCTGAGATCTATAAGTTTGGTGGTCCGGTTTTAACAGTTAAATTGACTGAGATCGTAGGTAGATTTTGTCAACTTTGTGCCATCTTGCGCAACTGATCTCAATCCTTGATTGTCCCAATTTATAAGAAAGGACAAAAGCTTTCTTGCGACAGTCACAGGGGAATAAGTCTAACTAATATAGTATCTAAAATATTGGCCTCAATAGAGCTCGTGAAGAGCAGACTCAAGAAACACCGGCTGGTTTCAGACCTGGACGTGGTTGTACAGACCACATTTTCACACTGCGACAGGTCCTGGAACACAGACACACATTTAGGCGTCCTACAATAGTTGTGCTCCTGGACCTTAAGGCGGCATTTGACTCTTTGGATCGTAAGATTCTGTGGCAGTGTATGTCAATAAATGGTGTACCAAAGAAGTTCATTAACCTTATACGAGCTCTCTACTCTAACACCACTGGTCGAGTGAGAGCTTGTGGCGAACTGTCATGTGAATTCTTTACTTCAAGCGGTGTCCATCAGTGATGTCCACTCCCTCCATTCTTGTTTAACTTTTTATTTACATATGCTTCTAGAGGTAACATTATCCTCGTATGAGTTTCAGGAACTGATCTTTTAACAAGAGATTCACTTATTGACTAAGAATATGCCGATGACATAGTTAAATTCGGTCAAGACTCAGCGTTACCTGATTAACCCAAGCAGCAATCCGATTATGTTCGGGATGCAGTTCTCAAAATGCAAAATGTTGCTTCAACACTGGCTTGTATCGGAACCCGACCTAGTGATAGGGAGTGAAGTAGTCGAACGTGTAGACCGCTTCACTTATCTTGGGAGTCTCATGAGTGCTGATGGCCTGGTGACTGACGAAATCTCAGCTCGGATACAGAAGGCTCGATTGGCTTTTACCAACATGCGTCACTTATGGCGTGGGCGAGATATCCGTTTGCTGACTAAAGGACGAGTGTACTGTGCAGTAGTTCGCTCTGTCCTACTACTTGGCTGTGAAAAGTGGCCAGTCCGACTAGAATATATTCGTAGGTTACTGGTTTTCGATCACAGGTGTCTTCGAAGCATTGCTCGTACATCTTGAGACAACCGAGTAAGCTAAGCTGTCGATAAGAAACGAGTACTGGGTAGGGACGGAAGATCAATAGGTGAAATGTTGAAGCTTCATCAGCTGAGGTGTTTGGGACATGTGTTACGTATTCCTAACCACTGACTGCCTCGTCGAGCTATATTTTGCGGTGTAGCAATAGGTTGTAAGTGAGGTAGGGGCAGCCAGACCAAAACATGGCACAAATCCATGAAGTCACTGACAAGTGGACTAAGTCATGTTGGTAGAGGTAGGCTATCTGGTTGGGGTCCGCGAAAGGTTAGTGACCGATGGTTAGAGACCCTGAACGACATGGCTCAAAATCGTTTGCAATGGAGCAGGTGCATTCGTTCTCCTAAATCCTAGACTTTTTAATTCTCCATCACTTTATCTTTTCATGTTTATTTCACTAGGATCGACTTCTTGAATAATATCTTCTAAACCTAACCTCTCTGAATTATTATTTATTATTATTTATTTCACATGATTACTGGTTGCTGCATTTCGTTCATCGCTCTTTCGAATATAATATAGATAGGTTTCATACCCCCAAACTAACATTAGATGCCCTTAAATTCACCAGAGATCCCAAATTGATAATTGATATCTTATGAACAAGAGTGGTGTAGTGATGGAGCACACAGGTGGGGCAACCGAATTGTATTTAACGAAAATTACAGAGTTACTCAGTAAAACAGGAAAACCATATCGTAAATCGTTAATTTGCAAGATATCAGTTCATCATATCGAACTGGACTGTTCCTGTTGCAAAAGATCAATCCATTGTCACTATTCATGCGTTTCATACAAATTCCATTGTTTTCTAACTCTTCCTTTCTTGATCTTCCCCCCATCTTCCGCTGCCAGACATTACGTTGACACTCACGTCATATACTACTTATAAGTAGCTCGCACCACAGCATCACAGTGGTTGCTTCGTTTTCGCAATCCTTGCGGACGTGGTTTCACTTATAAATACACTTGAATGACATTAAAACTTCTCGGATTTAGATTTTCGAATCACTTTTGTCACCACATTAATGAATATTTTTCATAGTTCCTTTCGATCAATCTGAAGATGTTGCCCATTGATGTTTTTATCTTCAAATAACGATATTATTGAATGTTATTGTTTTAAGGTTGAAATAAAAGACCATGATTATCTTTTTACTAACCAAAAAGTATTGTTATATTCCAGTAGTTCATATTTGAGTTCGAAAATGAACATAGAATTGCAAAATTTATTTCTCAGCACTGCATAGTCGTAATATAACTCGGTGAAAAAAGGTTAAAGCAAATGTTTGTAGCAAAGCCACCCATTGAGCTCATATCTATAATTGTAAGAAACCTGTTTGTCAGATATGAGACTATCATAAAAATGCCTGTTTGGTTGGGGAATTTATTCTGCCTTGAGGTTATTTGAAGTTGTATATATGAAGTTGTATATATTCTTATCACAGTAACTGAAGTGTCAAAAACTTCTCATCTAAAGGTAGACGAATTAAGCCTAAAGTGCTATCAGGTTGGGGTTAATTACGATTGTAATGATACCAGAATGTCTGAATTATTTAATTTCTACATATTGTTGACCCTTTTTCCAACTTTTGTGTTAACTAATTGTTAATTGTGTGATGTTATGAAATGTTCGTCCTAATTAATCCGGCTGACTAGTTTGTTCTGTGGCTCTTCCTCTAAAAGCCAAAAAGAGCATCGGTTAGCTTGTCTAGTGATTGTATTGTATGTTTATTTTCTGTTTCTGTCTCCTTCAAAAGCTGTTTAGTATTCTGGAATATAGGTCACAAGTATTCTGATCACAATATTTGACTTTAGGATACTAAATAAACAAGGGAATTTTGATGAAGAGTTGTAAGTATAATAACTTCTAAGGTGAGCGATCTTTACCATTCCTTGATATCGAACAGACCACGCCCCAGGGCCACGGAAGCTAACAGAAGTTAATTACTATGGAAGGTGAGAGACCCCATTCAGAATGCTGTCCTACTCAGTGTATCCTAGGCGAAACATACAACTGAAAAGAGAAGATTACAGGTTAATAGACTGGATGAATACTTGCTACTGCAGAAAAGGAGATACCGCCGCAAGTAGGAATGTACCTTTGGAAGATGACTGATATCTTGAACGATAAATTCCCTGATAAGTCGAACGAGGTATCCATAAAATCAGACTAATATTGAAACCTAGTATCAGCTAATGGTCTAAAGATTATCCGGCTTATTCTCAGCTTTATACTTGGAAAACTAGACCCAAGTGCCCAGGTAAGTCGACACAGTGAGAAAATATTCGTCCACTAATCGTAAGGAAGCCTTCAATTTTTCGGTGTGCGACCTATTCAGGCATTAAGTACAGTTGCAAAAACTTCCAGCTGGATGGAAACAAACTAATCCCTATCCAATCTTCAGACGAGATGCGATCGGGTTTAGTCAGTCGCATTACTACCAATACTGACGAAGGTAATGGAAGGGCTAGTTAATAAGAATCAAAGGTGATCTGATAATGTGATACAACATATAAAGTACGCTGAAACATGCCAACACAAGCATCTTGATAAAACATCACCACCACGCTCCAGGTCAAACACGAAAAATTGGACACCTAAGAGAGATCATCAAGGTATGAGGCAAATTTATCCCATTAGCAGTTGCTGCAATTCGGAATGTTCTTCTAGCCGAGGTAACTACAACCGCATCAGTAGAGAGCTTCAAGAAGAGACTTGATAAACTCGATCTCTCCCTCTTGGACCAGCTGTGCTTGATACATGTCTTAAGATTTGCTTGTACATATCAGTCTCGTTTCCCAAGACCACGACTTTATTTTTACTTGCCTTTACTCTCCGCTTCCTCTTCTTTGCCTGCACTTTTCTTCTCTCACATAATATTCACTATTAATTAATTATTTAGTAATGTACATAGTTCTGAAATTTTCCTCTTCTTATTGTAATTGTCTCTATATTGTTCCCTTATTGCAACTAACTGATCTCCGGCCCGATGATATTAACATTGCTGGTACCCAGAACCCCTTTTGTCCTGAGAAAAACGCACGGACATAAAAATTAATACATACACAGTCAGTTGGTTCGACTACCATCTATTGAACAATATCAAATATCTAGAACCGTACCGAAAGAACTGGAGGCTGCCTCAAGGAAATCAAGTGGCTTTTACTAACTACTGAAAAATATATTGATTATTGGAACCATTCTTAATGTACGGAATCAGTAAAAGAAACTGAAATCAAAAAGATAAGTTGGAATTAGAAGGACGATTTTAGCACCAAGGAAATTGTTTGGTTAATTTACAGTTAAGCTCCTCTCTAGTCTTCACAAATTACGTTCCAACACAAGTCTGGATCATCTCTCATCGATATCGATGTCAATCTTCATACAGTCATTTCGAAGAAGGAAAGACTCACGTGAGTTCCAAAATGAGGTATGTTGTAAAAAGAAGCTGATGATGATAAAGTAGCATTTGCCGTGGTCTAGAATGAGTTCATTTCAGTGATATTGGATATTAGAAGTCTCGAAATGTCATACCCTTCGTGTTGATATTGTGACCTTCGCGTGAAATTAATTTCAAGGTGTCTTGGGGTTGTTTTCGCTTACATCTTACTTTCTGTTAGAGCACCGATTACTTGAGTACATTAGAGCACTTACCGTTGCTTACTTCACCCTTATTAAAGACCCTAATTGACTCTCTAGACAAAGCAGAGTTAAATGTGTTCTGAATCCGATGATCGTGAAATTTTGTGTTCCCTAGTTTGTTGTGATTATCGATATCTCACGAGTCTTTAAGTTAGATTCTAATCACTAGCTTTGTCTTATCTGGAATTTCACATAATTTTACATATATTCATCGTAAGCAATGCAGTTGGATGTGTGAATCGTGTTGAAATTATAACATGTCGTTTTACATAATGAGGAGTTAAATGAATGGGAATACAAACTGGTGACTTTTGTGCGCATAATTATGTACTTGTCGTTTACATAAGCCTAAATTAGTTGAAAACGTGATGTTTATAACCCTCCTTGATGTTATTTTGTATCCAGTTGCATGTTCTGCGAATTTATGTGAGCCATTTCTTTTCCCTATTTGGTACACCGTTCAGAATCTTTCAGTCCTAGTCTTTTCTCCTAAGTTTTTCTGCAGTCAAGATTGCGGTTTTTTATTTTTTATACTGTGTAATCGATTTCTGATGTATGTTCTCACATTCCTTTATCACCCCGCACCTCTGCCGCGAACGTATATATCTCGTGTACGATGTTGAATAATACCGTCTAACAGTGGATTGTACAATGTGTATCTAAAGTGTTTTTATTCTTCTTATTCATTAATTATGTTATATTTTGTTTCAATAATGTTATACTAACTTCCGTGTTCTTGTTATGAACATAAGATTTATCATACTTAGGAGAAACCAAATGTCTCTTGGTATTTTTCTTCAAATACCCGAAATAATGTTCTTATGTACGAAGTTCTGCGTTGTATCTCTCAGTCTGTCTGTCAAATACCATACTTCTTAAGCTAACACCTGTCTGTTTGTACTTAGATTGATAAATTAGTTAGACCGTTCATTATGAATATAGGTCGAAGCTGATCTCTAGTTATTTCCGATAATTTTGAATATAAGTGCTATAAGTGAGTGTTCATTCCGGAGTAGCACACTGCTGTTTTATCACATTTCGTTCCTTGGAGTAATGTTATTACAAATATAAGGCTGTCTGTCATGTTCTATAAACTTATCATTTTTCTTGTACTTCTTTGCTTACCCTTATACGGTTTCGTCCATTCATCTTTTTGTCTCATATATTATATTTATGGTACTCCTCACCATTTTTCATAGTCTAATTTTACTATATTTTCAATGATTTTCATAGGCTTCAATGTCTATCGTTGCTAGCCCTCCGAAAAAAGTAGGATCATGGTATTTTGGAGGAGTAGCTGGCGCGATGGCAGCTGCATGTACTCATCCATTAGATCTTATCAAGGTGCACCTACAAACTCAACAAAAGAAAGAGTTTGGGATGGTTGGTATGGGGATTCGTGTATGGAAACGAGATGGTATTTTGGCGCTTTACAATGGAATAAGTGCTTCGATCCTCAGACAACTCACATATTCTATGACTCGATTCGGGATTTACGAAACATATAAGCAATCAAAAAATTCCACCTTGCCATTCAGTGAAACTGCATTAGTAGCTATGCTTTCTGGGTTTTGTGGCGGTATTGTTGGTAATCCAGCGGATTTGATTAATGTCAGGTAAGCCAGCTGTGCATCTTCGGTGGGGTTTTATTTAATGCATAACTGTTTTGGCAACTAGTTGGTTATTCTGTGGCTTTTGTTGCATATTTATCTAAATTACTAGAAATGTAAATACTTTATGTGTAACATATTGTCTAGGTGTTAATTCAGGTTGCTAGCGGGGTTTATATACTAACCTAACATTGTATGTGACACAACGCAACTAATCCTTGAAATGAGTGTCGTGTAATGATATAAAATACAGTCTCGTAAAACTTGTCTTGAGACCTACTTCCAATTTCCACATTTTTCTCAATACCGTGATCGATCCCATCTTTTCTTGCTACATTAGTTGTAACGAACCATAGTCACTGTAATTCTCGTCAAAGCCAAATAATTAAAAATCGAAGGCTTCAAAAATAGGTCATTTTATTCTGTATTAAAATTCTATCACTCAAGTTTCGAAGAATATTAAAATAAATTCTCCAGCAGTGTCCAGTTAAGAGTTAGTACTTTCGAACTACTGCGTATTATTTTGAAAAGCAACTTTATGCTCCAGTGTCATTCACCCAAAACCTCGTTCACCATCAGTATCTGACGGAGCGGTAATTGCGATACTTTCAGGTGTTTGTTTAATTAGCGCTAATTTGCTCATTTCACACTGTCAGTCAAGTTTAAAAATTTAACTTAATCCCATCAAAACCTTAATCAGATGTGATATTAAACGTCAGCTTCCAACAGTTTGCTGCTGATAGTAGCCTGTTCACCTAGAATACGAATAAATGCCGTCAAAAATACTTGAATATAATGTAATTGTTACAAATCTAGGTAATAATCACAGGAAGACATCAACTGTAAGTATAAGTTGTCCGTATGGGCACAACTTTGATTGCTGAAGGAGTTAATAACAACCCTGAAATAGTTTTCATTGGCTTTTAATTCTGGAATCGAATAATTTCAAAATGACCTGTCGTATCAGAGCCTAACAACTGCGTTCAATCCTTCCTCTCGCATATTTGTGTGATTTTAATGTGAATGACTGAAACATCAGAGTACTAATTCATAATATAGTTACCGGTATGATTATGCAGTTAGAATACTCCCAACAGAATGTTTTTTCATATCAAAGATTACAGTATCTGTGTTTACAAATGCCTCAGTATTTCGAATCACTTAAAAACCTGAACACTTATAACAAAAATGTGTTACGTGTATATGAAGCCACACCGGTTGATTGTGAATTTACGTATAATTGAAATCTTAATTATAAGGGTTTATAATATGCTGTTAGTTAAAGTAATACGTTAAATATGAAATTGATTTAGTATGGCCAGTAATGCAGATATCAGAAACATCGGAAAATATCAAAGCAGAAATTAAAGAAGCTCTGTTAATCTAGGACAGAAAAGCAATCACCTATCCAATCAGGAGATGGAGAAAAACTGTATTTGACGGTAAACAGTGAACAGAGGAGTTGAAATCCCTTCAGTCACATGATTACCAGAGCCTCACCCACCAGTCAGAAAACTTTACACCACAAACGACCACACAAGGATTAGCTACCGCTAAATGTGAGCAATATTAGCTATGATCAGATTATTGAAATGCCAGGTCTCCAAGCCATGAAGGAAGACTGGATGAACCAAAGTGCCATCAGAACGCGTACACCCTAGCTATCATTGTGATTTAACTTTAGAGAGTACGAGTTAGTCCATGCCAACCAGGCTTTCACCGAGTATAGGTTGGTTTAGTTTGTCGAACTATTATATCAACTCTCAACCATTGAAGCATACGAGGGCCACAAATTCTCAATAATTCACCAATGAACACAAAAGTAGACATGCTAATTATCTGAATTTTAGAGTTTTCAAGCACATTCTATACTTATGGATGCCAACCTAGTGGAAAGCAAAGGATTTATTCGTCATCTCATAATAAAACATCATTGTTTCATGTACCAATTTTAAATTCACCTCATATTTCTCCATATATTATAGTCATAAGCTCATGGATACACAAATCAAAAGTAGCGTATCTAAATTACCGCGGATAATTACACCGCTTGTTCGCAGCAACAGATAGGTGATTGTACTTGAAGGATTACTACCAACGTGACACCATGACCCGCTAGAGGCAAAAATGTTATGTTACGCTGATATAGACTACAAGTTCAAGATGTATGGAAATAAAGCTTGAATATTGGATACCCCAAGGTCTCTGTATAAGTCCACACAAGATGTATTTTTAAAGAACTCATCGATGGTAATCAGTTAAGATTTTGAATATTGATATCTAAGGTATGGCAATCATCTGTAGCGACTAAATAAACCTTTGGAAACTTGGAAGCACTGAACGGCCATTTCGTGCTAATATAGGACTCATCAGCAATGCACATCTACGACTCCATGAGTAGTAATCGAAACTAGGACGCGATCGATCTTATTGATAATGTAGCATTAATCGATCCATGATTTTAATGAGACTCAGCAATCTCCGCAACCCTACATTGACAATGAATCGAACATGTTGAAATTAAGATGTAAAAGACAAATAATGCGTGTTTAAACACAATGTTTAACTTGCAAATAGTTAAATTGGCTTTCAAACCTTGGAAACCAAAAGCTTAACGACTTACACAAATATCAGTAAATCAAAATCATCAAACCAGCATCAGGTGATTCTTTATTATGAAAAGTAGTAGTTAACAAAATTAGCTCATTCACCGACCACTCCTTTCTTCTTGTGGTGTATGTATATTGTTTATCTAGAGTCAATGTTTCAAATTTTATAGAATACTGTTCCTTTTTATGCCACAAATATTTGCCCTGCCTCAATTTCTCATGAAACATCTAAGTCGCGTAAATACTGTGATCGAAGCTTGTTGACAGAGTCTATGTATTCACAGTTAGTTAAGAAAATGCTGATTTCTGCCTATCTTCATCTGTTCCAAAATATCTTAGTGTTCACACAAGCATCAGTAACTGTGGGCATATTGAGAGTGAGTGAGTGAACCTCGCCAATGATGTAAAGTCTAATATGAATGAACCAAGAAACCTGGTGATCAAAATATGATTGTTACTAACAAAACAAAAAGTGACGGGATATTGAAAGCCTAAGGTTCACTACTTCTTCGAAGTAAATTCCCCGTAAAAGTGTTATGTGAGTAGTTCAAATAATTTTCGATTAATAATCTTTCTACCTCTGAAGCTGAGGATTACTTATTTTCCGTCAGTCACATTCTTTACGGAACCGAATGCGAAAACTCAGTGACTCAGTTTATAATACAAAATCAACACAATGATCTAAAACTTATAAAAGTAGTGTAAAATTAACAATAATATGGATGATAGTGAGAAAGATTTAATATTCAGAATAGGGCTCGAAACAAAGGATAAAAAAGGTATGTATAGAAAATGCCAGAACCATTTGTAAATTCTAAACTATAAGATTCAACGTGTTCAACCACTAATTTGGGCTCTAGCTCGGACCCAAAGTAGGTAGTTTGCATCTCCCAACATGAGTCAGCTTATTTGTCATTAATTTTATGGACTGAAGTTACACCTCTAGTTTTTTGTAGTGTATCTTTGATTTAGTGAACATTGCTCGTCGAGGCAGACCTTATTTTAGTGTATGTAAAACAAGTTCCAACTTTCTCAACCGATGATGATTCCCACCCTCCTCAACTGAGTTGCCACGTATTCTTTATATCCCACCTCTAACCGCAGGACGGCTCACTTTTTTGTTATATGATACACGAGTAATGATTCGATGGTGCCTGTAATCAGAAAATTTCAGCCCACGCATATCTTGTGCTTTTACAGTCAGGTCCTTGTAATTCTCTGAAAGTGAACGGAAGACAATAAACTAAATGCTGCATAGTTGCTGTACTTTACTTATTCAACCTTAACATCATTTTAGATGTTTGTACTATTTATTTCTATGTCCTATTAATGTTTCCTATTTAATTATGTATACTAATTTTACAACTTGTTTGTTACCATTTACTTCGAATGGTTAGACCATATGCAATAGACAAGGTACATATTTATATGTATATAATGTTTTTCATCTTAACTTATTTTTGTTGTGATGGAAATGATAACGATCAATGATTATTTGCAAAAGTGTACTAAGTTATACAGTAATTTTGCTTCTCTGGATAATCAAAAGGATCCCTGCGCCCCCTATTCCTAATCAGTGACTTCATAAACATTATGCCTGGTCTAGTTGACCTGTTTAAAATGGTCTAAGAACAGAAAATCTTAGGGACTTAAGGACAAACACACACTTCCCAAACAATAAATAATCGTTAAAGGTAGATAAGGACATGTCTCAGAAATCTTGTCTTCCAAGTGAGATTTATTCTCTCTCTAACCTTCAATTGTTTTATTTCTCACCATTTCTGCTAATCTATTGCATAAAAATACTGCTTTCCCTGTTTATGCAGTTATTAGCAAAATTATCATTGAATCACAAAACACTCATCTTGTCTCACATTTTAAAAGAATCAATCGTATAACAATGTTTCCCTTCGATGATTTTCGACTTTATAAGCTATGATAATCCGTTTACTTAACATGCACTGAACGATAACATATACGTTAACTCAAAATTACAGTATAGCAGTACAAGTGTACTTCTGCCATGAATTAGTTCTAGTTATTTGTTTATATTCGTCTACTTCTCAATACGGTTAAAAAGCCCTTGGGATTCGTTCGAATAACAACCCTTTCACTGTACGATTTCTCATGAAATTTGTGGACTGTTAATACAGCTAACTGAAGCAGGAGTCGCCATTAAAGCGGAAACATGGTAAAAATAAAATTACCAACACTATTCCGATTCCTTTGAAGTCTATCTTTTACTTAGTGGTTTTCTTCAAAAGCTTTCGGGTATCTCCATGATGCGTAACACTGACGATGACTGTGCGGTATTGTTCATTGAAAAATAGCTCAAAAAACGAAGTAATACGTTTGATTGTTTTCTATGACCGATAAATACTGTTTGTGTATTCTGTTTGCAGTGTCAATATTTATTTGGAACACTGAAACTCCCATGTATATTTTGATGCACTTTAACGATAACTAGACTAAGCAGATATAGCTACACTGTTTACACTTCATTTGTTGTCCGAAGTTTCTGCCACAAATTGTAAAGTATTTTCAGTGCAATTAGGAGAAGAAGCAAGCGTTGCCTGTATTTTTGGTGTACAGTAATTTAGATGGCTTGAATCTTTTTTTTTTTAGGATGCAAAATGATATGAAACTTCCTATAAATGAACGACGAAAGTAAGTTATCTAGTCTGACTTATTTTCTTTAAAAAGACTTAAAAATATTTTAGTTGCAAGATGGGTTATGCTTATTTATTTTATAATACTTCAAAGATCTAGGTGCTTTACTTCCAACTAATGGATCAGGGCTTCGAAGCGTGCTCCATCTAGTGATGTTTAGATTATCAGGTAGTGTTATCAGCCTATCTGCCTTTGTTCTTCAACATTCCCATCTATTTTTATCTCTTCCCACTACTTACATGAGGTCTAGACAGATAATTATTTGACTTAGTCTTAAATCCCGTTTGCTATCTACAATCAAAACTTACTGAACATTTTTAAGCTACAGATTAAATGTCCTCTTACCGTTTCTGAAGTATGGGCGAATTCATGAGGCTTGCACGTTTCGAACCTATACTGTACACTATTAAAAACCACAGTATTTACTCTCACATTTAGTTATATCTTTTATAAAACTAGGGGCTTTATCTTGCTTAGTCACTGTATGGCTACAAAGATATCAGTTTCATCATTATATTCTATATGTATTTACGACATTACAGTATCGTACGTCGTTTATGTATTTCATCTACATTACGTACGTTTCAACCAGTATTTGTCTAATCGTCAATATATTTTCAAGCACAGCTATCTAGTTTTCAAACAATCAGTTAATTATTTTTCACTTCCACAGTGTAGTGATACCTGAAAAGTTCTGTCTAAATTTTGTTGCCACGTGATCTCCCTGACCTTTCAAATTATGTTTCCCTGATATTTCCAAATCCACGGGTTTGGACTGTACTTGCTCTTGTTCAGAGGTAAGTGAATATTAAGCACAATGCTGTAGTCAACTGTGAAAGCAGCTTCGTAACTACACTGACTTATGTATTTCCAATATCTAATGAAATAGAATATAGGACTGGCCCATTTAGTCGCTGAAAAATTCTCGTCATAATAAAACAAAGATAAATGAACAAGGTTTTACAGTTATACATCCAAAAAAATAATCCAAAAGATGGCCAGGTTTAAGGCAAAATACTTCGTCTAAAATTATAATGTGTGAATTTAGGACTGTTAATGATCTAAACCGTCAGTGTTCGGATGGCTGACGCGAAGTGTTTACTTGAAAAAGCTTATGCGTAAAATGGAATTGTGATATTAATGATCAGAATAAATATAGTTAATCAGGAATCATATAACATAAAGAATAACATAAATCAGATACCAATTAGTGAATTGGGGTTGGTGAAGAAGAAATTACTTTAAAAGTTGCACGCGTCTTAAAAAATGATAATAATAATAATATTTGTGATTAAAATGATTTTAATCTCAGAAAATACAGAGAATGAAGTTGTATGAGACTTAATCAGATTACTATTATCGAAATGATTGTTAACTAATTAGGCCAGGAGTAGGTCAAGGTGAATGGAGTTCTTACTCCTGTTACTTCTAACAGAGCACAGGCCACCAGTCAAGATTCTCCAACCAACTCTGTCCTGGGTTCTCCTTCCCAGTTGTTTTCAATTGCTATTCGGTCTTTCCACGTCTGTCTCCAATCATCTGCAAGACGTGTTCCTTGATCTACCTCTTTCCTTTGGCCTTGAGAAGTTGGCAAGGTAAAAGGAGTGGTTGAACGTATTTGTTCTGGACGCCAATTACTGGCTTTTTATCCGAATAGCTATTGCTTCAGCCATCCGACAGATTTAGGCAAATTTCTGTATACACTATATATTATTGTAAATGACTGCTCCATGTTGGCTGTATGGCCCATTTGTATTAAATGAGCTAGAATCCAGCTGTTCACGGATTACTCTTTTGGCATGGTTTGAAAACATATGCTCTTCTGATTTTCACCTTTGATTTGACTACAAATCACTTTCATACATAATAAAATGCTCTCCTAGTTCTCTCTTCAGCAATACTGCATTTCCGTTTGAAAGCTTATAAAACTGTACTAAGATTGGTACAGAAAAATATGAATTCATTTATTTCACAATGTTCATACCAGCTAGTCACAAACTATAATATTTTGAAATCAAAATAATCGCTGAGTCCGCCTACTTGAGCAATAAAGTCACCAGCCATTATTACTATATCAGGGCGCTTAACGTTTTGAAGAAGTTTAGAGAGATTTCTGTCGAACTCATCTGTTATTTCGTCTGAACTGCAGTCAGTGGGAGCGTAGGCAGATACGACGAAGAGACAACCGCTAGTTTCCTTGTTTCACGAGTTTGTACCGTCCCGTTTAGTCGGAGAGCGTGAGATTCTAATGTCCCAGCTAAGGAAACCTGTTGCCCTATTTGACACAATGTCTGAACATTACAAACTCCGAAATGTAGTTTAGAACGGGGTTTCAGGAGACTAGGAATAACGTTTCGCGAACTCGAATCATTTGCATCAGCGCTAGGAGGTGATAAAGGAATGTGAGAAGAGTTAGTCGTGGAGATAAGGGGGATGTTAAGGGGTGTAGGAAGGATTTGATTTGACCAATTTGGTCTCGTGTGCTGTTACGGGTATGAGAGCGGATATCATTTTTCGGCTGCCCACACCGTGGAAGGGTGTTTAATGAGGGACCTCAAAACGAAGTTAGATTAGTGTTGGTCTTAAAAACCTGGGAGCTTGACCGCAGAGCCCAACAGACAATTGCTTCAGGCCGGTCACACATTGCCTTTTTGTGGGACTGTTTTAACCTGTTAGCTCCTTTCTTCAAATGACCTTACCGCCGGAGACCGAATTTCCTGAGATAAGGTGAGGTGTGACATTTTTAGGGTCAACCTTTTCTAACCCTCTGCTTCCTTGTGAAATGGCAGCATCGCTGCAGATGTTTGTTGTCCGAGGGAAACACCTTACTACAGTCTGTACGACTTCGCCCTGAGACCTTGAGTAGCTGTTTTTAGTCTCATCGTTCTCCAGTCGACCTGCGTGGCATGGATGGACTTACAGGACCATAGGTTCCAGCCAATATATCTCGGTTGGGTCATCACGATATGCAAGCCCGACCACCACGGTCGGGATCACTTATACAACCACACCTTATTATCTTTAGATTACCGATTGTTACACGAATTTCTTAGACATATGATTTTCGACAGACACTTATTTGTAAATTAACCATAAATACAATTGCACAGCCTGAGTGAATGATTTTGTCGAAAGGATTTTCTTTACTGAATTGTCTTTAATGCTTTTTCAATAACACCGTGAGTTACTTTCGTAATTTTAAAATCAAAATATATTTTAAATGAACATTTCACCCTTATGAATCATGGCTTCTTCAGCCTGATAAAACGTTCATATTATCATTGGTATTATTTGATTTATTAACTTATCTTTATTACTACTAATAACTTATAAATGACTCATTCAACTCCTGTTTAATTTTAAAAAATTTATTTATATTATATGCTAGCTATAAAAATTGTATTGATGGATTAATTCGTGTAGTTCGTCATGAAGGTGTAACCAAATTGTTCAATGGAGTCAGTATGACTGCTTCTCGAGCTGCATTTATGACATTCGGACAATTAGCTTTTTATGATAAATTTAAAATGATGCTTATAAGTACTGGTGAATTTGAAGATAAGCCTTTAACGCACATGATTGCAAGTTCTAGTGCAGTAAGTAATTGTTTAAACATGTTTATCCTAATCGTTTATAAGAAATAATTATTTTCATAAGTATTATTTTATGTGTATTAATAATTATGAACATAAAATGTTTTATAATTTTGATCAGAAAACTGATATTGTACACAACTTCAACAGATAATTGCAGTCGTACAAGATTTTCGATGAGTGTCTAATAGGTGGTTTCTTATTTGATAAAGGCCGACAAGTAATTGGAATTCGCATAGTCCCGAGTGTCATGAATAGTTGTCTACATTACAATTATATCTGTCTATCAATTTCGTTTTATTTATCGTTTAGCTAGGATATAGTAACTACTTAACCGAAAAAAGCTACTCACCCATTAAACAGTTACCTTTGGCCAAATTTTCATCAGTTCGAATTTGAAAGGAAAGATCAGCCATGTAGTGAACCAATAATGATAGTTGATCAGTATCTTTCAACTTTCAATTACTGTATGGCACGTTTGATTTCCGCTCCACTTATTTCAGATCGAGTGAAATTATTATTAATGAAAGTGAGATTTAACCTTGCTAATCAACAATATCATAATCCAACTGTCGGTGCTCTGAGCCAACATTGGGACGACGTTAGTTAATTTGAAGTGTGTACAGAAAGACAGATCGTTTGACACATCAATAAAATAACTGTTCTACACCTACTAAATTTGAAATTTCGTTTTATGTTTTGGCTAATTCTTCATACTGGATTAGTTATTCTTAGAAGAATCTATTTTTTCATCATCATACATTTTTTTTTGTTTTTTCCCTTTTATACAACACATCCTTATGCTGTAAGAATCGGTAATGTATTCATCAGGATTGTCCACTTTTTCTAACCTCGATAATACTTAGACACCTAACTACAGCTAATAAAGAGCAGACTCAGGAGAATCAGGCTGGTTTCAGACCCACGTGGCTACATAGACCACATCTTCACACTACGATAGGCCCTGGAACACAGACATACATTAAGGCGTCCGACAATTGTTGTCTTCCTGGACCTAAATGCGGCATTTGACTCAGTGGATCGTGAGGTTCTGTAGCAGTGCCTGTCATTAAACGGCGTACCCAAAGAAGTACATTAACCTTATACGAGCTCTCTACTCGAACACCACTGGTTGGGTGAGAGCTTATGGCGAACTGTCATCTGAATTCTTTACTTCAAGTGGTGTCCGTCAATTCTGTCCACTATCTCCGTTCTCGTTTTACTTTGTCGTACGTATACTTTTAGAGGTAACAAAATCCTCGTCTGAATTTTCAGAAGTTGATCTTCTAACAGTAGATTCACTTGTTGACTTAGAATATGCCGACGACATAGTTCTATTTGGTGAAGACGCTGACAAAATGCAGAGTCGTCTGACTATCCTAAGCAGCAATGCAAGCATGTTCGGGATGCGGTTTTCCTCCTCAAAATGCAAAATATTGATACAAAATTGGCTTGTATCGGTACCTGAACTACTGACAGGGAATGAAGTAGTCGAGCGTGTAAAGCGCTTCAGCTATCTCGGGAGTCTCATCAATGCTGATGGCTTGGTGACTGACGAAATCTCAGCACGGATACATAAGGCTCGATTGGATTTTGCCAGACTGCGTCACTTATAGCGTAGACGAAATATTTGTCTGCGTGACAGTTCGCTCCTTCCTACTATATGGATAAGAAACATGGTCAGTGAGAGTTGAGGATATTTGTAGGGTATTGAGATTCGACGATAGATATCTTCGAAGCATTGTTCGTGTATCGTGGGACAACCGAGTAAGCAATGCTTTCGATAGGAAACGAGTATCAGGCAGGGATGGCAGATCAATAGATCAATAGTCGAGCTCCATCAGTTGAGGTGTTTGGGACACGTTTCGTGTATGCCTAATCACCGACTGCCTCGTCGAGCTATGTTTTGCAATGTAGGAGTAGGTTGAAAACTATTTTGAGCTGTCATTCAAAGTCTGTAACCGTCAGTTACGATTGTTTCACGGACCCCGACCAGTTAGTTACACCTGCTAACATGGGGTATACCTATTATGAAATGTCAAAACAAATAACTATGAAGTATTTACCGCATATAATGTTATCGTTTTCTTGTTTGTTCATATTCTTAATTAACTGTTTAGCTTATTATCTATCGCTATTATCAACTTACAGTATCTTAGAATATCGCAGTAATATCTTTTACGTACATATGTTAGATGTGGATGAAAGCCTAGTACACAAAGCTGTACTCAGCCACTAAGTTGTTGTGTTGTTTTATTTCTATTTTTTACTCAGGAATATAAACCGTTTATCTTACCAAAGATAGAACATAGAACCGTCAGAATTGTTAAAATGTTCAGGATTTAAAAAATGAAACATAAATTATGAATTCATCAGCTATATCCTCTGGGCTCTCTAAGTGCTTATTTTCTGTGGGCGTGAGAAATCCTTCACTAAGCAAGTTTGCCACACTGGATCACAAGACAGATCGACATTTCACTTACTAGGAGATCCCAGTGCAATATCAGACCTCTACCTCTACATTGAGTATAATGGCAATCATTTTGAAAATCATTATAGTCTAAATGTAAAGTAGTTGATGTTTTTTACAGTGTAACCAATTGTGTGCAGTTGTAGTTTATTGCATTATACACCTTATTTTTAATCACTGGTTCACGAGTTCAAGTGTTTTTGTTTCACTTTAATTTGAATATTGCAAGACTTCGTTTAATAGGTTTGATGCATAACCTAGTTTATTGATCTTAGAACTGTCGTGAAGTTATATGTAAACAAGAACAAATGGTGTTCTTTTTTCAAATCATTGTTGCTATCAAACTCTTCGTCGTTACATCACAGTCAATGTAATCTTTTCACTATTATATAGGCTGGAGTTGCAACTGTTATTACTCAACCATTTGATGTCATGAAAACTCGATTGATGAATGCTCCTTCTGGAAAATATTCCGTATGTTCCACTACTCATTTTGTTGTATTTTTCACATGATTGCTAGCTTAAATAACTTTCTAAAGTAATAATTAAGTTGTAAATACTTCCATATGTTAGTATAATTTTAGAATCTAAGATACTGCAGATCATTCACACATGACTCAGTCCAAAATTTCTTATGTTGGACTGATCATTAGTTGTATGTTTGTGAAGAAAGATATCATTTAACCTTTAGTTTATTAAAATCGCTCACTATGATTCTGCATACCTTTTTCCGTTTGCGTGTATCAGTTACCTAAGTTTTTATTGAGACTCTTTATCATTTTAATAAACGACCTCCCGTTTGTTCTAACATTTTACAAGTGAACTTCTTAACCTCTAACACATCGGGCAGGTTGTAGTATGTGTGTGTATTGAACCCATTATAGAATGATATCTGGTTTATTTCTGCAGTTATCATTACCGATAGGAGTGTGTATTGATCAGGAATAAAAAGTGACATGGCTTCAAATTTCCCTACTAACTTACCCGTTTTATTTATTTTTTTGAACATCTATTGTTGCATGACCAAAATAACGACAGATCTTCATTTTTTTGTAATTTGTAAAACAAATAACTTTCAGCACAATATGGTACAAAGAGATATACAGAGAATGAAATGACAGTGTTGTGAGATAATTAATTATTAATTATGCTAAAAATCAAAAGTTTTTTTTCGTTTGAACTCACTATGAAAATTAATTTTATCCAACTAAAAACTTCTCTTTCCTGACTGTGAAAAGTACGCTAGAAAACTATAGTAAGATCAGAAATCGGTACTGATGTTTTCAGTAGTTACATATACAAAATCACTATCTCCATTTAACATAAGTACGTGTTTTTGAGACTCTATTTCACTTACACAGTACGACAGCATTGTACTGACACATTTTTGTGGACATTAGAAATCACTTGGAAAAGGTCCTAATTCTAGATTTTTCATGTTTTCGCGCACAAACTGCCCAGTCGACCTTGAGATTACACTTCCCACTCGGAAAATCCTTGACTGTCATTAGTGGATGTAGTATTTTAGTACGCTATTTTTGTGACTCTCGCAAGCACGATTTGTATGCTTGTCAACCTCGTATTTCTGAGTCTATATCTGTCTTATTTATGTCTTAAATCTCATAAATCTACCTCAGATAGTTGGTTGAAATATTACTTTTATTTTTATTCTTCTGTTTCAGGGCCTGATGAGTTGTGCTGCAGATCTTTTAGCTACCGGTCCATTATCCTTTTTCAAAGGTCTAATTCCAGCCTTTTTACGTTTAGCACCACACACAGTATTAACATTTGTATTCCTTGAACAATTGATTATTAATTTTGGACATGTACCGCCTCAGAAATAATGTTTTAAAAAAAATAGGACAGATGAAACAGATTATTTTCTAATCTATTATTCTAGGAAAAAATATTGAAATCCATTAATTCAATTCACATGTAAAGCTCTGCAAATAATTTTTCATTTTTATGACTTTTACCTGCTCTTAACAATTACCCGTGCAATCGACAATCTGTCTTTATGCATCTATTGATTTCTGTCTTTTTTAACTTATCTGTATACAATTCGTTTATATTTATGTTTGTGGTAATGACTTACTTTTTGTTTCTGTTAGTTATCACTTTTGCGAGGACGATGTTATTTTCTCTTTTTGGTGTGCGTATCATTGTTCATCGCGAAATTGATTATTTTCTCTTCTTCTCTTCTTCTTAGCCCTAATATTCCTTATATAAAAATCCATTTTATCTCCTTGTTTGTACGCTTAAGCATAACTACAGCATTTTTCATGTGATCATTCACTTTGATTTCAAAGGAGAGTTAACACACTAAATAAGATTATCAACTTCATATTTAATTTATCTCAGGATTAATTTTCCAACATAAAACCTTATTTATTGTTGATAAAAAGAAAATTCATTCCTACTCCTACTGGCATATTTAACAAATCCAGTTAACTTCTAATTACTTTCCAATTTTTTTTAAAATTTATTTTGATTCATGTTAATGATTCAAGACTGCGAGTTGTACTTCATCTTTTTACATATTTTCAAGAAAACTATTTATTCGAAATATTTTGCTTCTGCTAAAATCTACCATTAAATATAAACATTCAATAATCAATTTTTGCCTTTCTGAATCAGTATCTGTTGAAATCTAAGCATGAAGATCATATATTAACATAATGGCTGATGAGCTTGTTTTTATTTTATTAAGTAGAAGTTAGTATTAAAAAATAGCCCCATTCGTCCACCTTCTTGACGCTTTGATGCTTCTACTAACAAAGGCACTCACTTTTTAAGCAATACAATCAACTGTTATGACGGTTGTATTTTTTCATATGAGTGAAATTTACTGAGTGTCAAAAGAATTAACGCCAAGAAGAAAGGAAGTCCATATATCTGTACTTGATATACTGAACTCTAAATGAAGGTCTCCTATCATAAGTTTATAATCTTCAATATCTCTTATCCCTAAATATGCATCATAATTGTGGTGTACGTATACTACGTGCATCTTGATTACACAAATTTTATGGCAGTAATGTTTTATCGCATAGTTTTTCGTCTCTATTTTTAGAAATACGAGTGGTTATGTTTTCATGTTTGCACGTATGTGGTATCGATCTAACTCTGCGGATCCACTATGCTTTTAAGTGTTGCTGAAATTATTCTGACAGAAATCTTAAAACCATTTAATTACAAAAAATTATTGTAATATAATTTATGCGATCAATATTCTAGCTCTGTAATTACATTAACGGTACAGGGATCATCTATACCAGTTCACTCATAAACGTAATACAGTTAGATTACATCTCAATATAATGTTCATTTCATAATATTCATTTAATTTAATTCTTTAGACTACAATTCTGTTTTGGAATCAGTCACAAGCTTTGCTGTTGTATAAGCTTGTTAATTTAAGCACAGAAAGCTGCATAAATAACAGTGAACCAATCAGAAATGGCCAAATGAGAAAACTATTTGATGACCATCACAATGTTTGATAGTACGAACTCATATCGCTATTCAAGAAATGGATTCATCTTCTAAGGGGTGGAAATATATATATATATATATATATATATATATATATATATATATATGCATAGGATTCGTTATCCAGATAGACCTTCCCTTCCACTCTTGTCACTTTGTGAGTTAGAACGTATCGCGTTCAGATCTGGGGCACCGCATATCATAACCAAATCATTATCAGTGTTCTTATTTGTCTAATAGGAAACAGTATTCATACAAGAAAATGTTTTATTCCTCGGCTGTTTGCTCTCTCATGAAGGTATTTTCTTTTTTTCCTGAATAACTTACCTTCTACTGAAAACACTACCGTGTTTGGACGATAATACTGTGTGTATCCAAGTTTCTTCATCTTCTGGTTGCTGTAAAATGAATAAGTCCTTATCACACAGTGAATATTGGTGTAAATGTCATACTGTTAGTTTGATACACTGTCATTAACATCGTATCGAAGGCTACTAATATCGATTCTAGGTTTTCTACTGACCTATCTTTATCTTCTCATACTTCTTAGATATGGATGAAATTTGTGTATCTTACCACAAAAGAGGCTAAATGGTTGTATAAATTCTTATAGATCGTCTTTTTCGTAACACTATTCATTATCTTTCTTTCCTGCTGGGTATTGAAAGATGTTAGTTGTGTTAGTCAGGTATCTTTTCGACTTGATTACTAATTGTGGATAGGTTTTCGTTTAAAATCTTTAAAACAATCATCAGTGGTTTTTAATCAAATACAGACTATCTACTACATTTAGGAGTTTTTCCTTATTTGTCACCTTATAGAATAAGACACAAGTACATTGAAATCCACGCTTGCAGTAGAAATAAGTAAAAAAAATTTGTTGCAGCACACAATACTGAGAATTTTGTAATGTACTGAACATACAGTTTTGAATAAAACGATTATTATATTTGATTCTCGTACTTGCGGTGGTCAGTTATAATTTACGACACTGTTTTATATTGAAGTCAAAATTTTAATTTTGTTGTAGAAGTTAGCTTTAACAAAGTACGTTAATTCAGGCAAGGGGAATACCCTAGGAAATATCAAAAATGTCATATAACATTGGCGTACTTTATATAGTTCACGCAACTTTTAACTAATTGGTTAATTCTGTATATTTTAAACAAAAAGTTATAGAACTGCTGGATGAAATCGGTTTTAAGAATCAATCGTTACATGAACAACAAACATATTACTTCGATATGAAAATAGTGTTGCTAAAAGCGTTATTCCATGACTACTGCTTTAAATTACATTCTCTAATGCTAATTGTTTAGAAATTTTATGATATCCACTCCTCTCTTTTTAGATGACCTGACAGTGTGTAAAAAACAAGTACAGGTCTTAGCCATACTATCTGTGCGCAGGCTAGTGGTACCCTTTGACTGGCTGGCTACACAGAGATTGACAGGTGAGATTTGGAACTGTGGTCAACAAGTTGAAAGGCGATTTCCTTAACCACTAATGCATCACACCATTTCATCAACTAAATGCTCTGAAACCCTGTATTAGGCGATAGGATAACGTTCCTAATTGATCACTCTTATGATGAAAGGTAGATTGACATTTGAACACAGTTTTCACTGATTTACGGCTGAGTAGCTGTATTTTACTATTGAGATGATATTCGACTATAGATCGTTCTAATTTTTGTCCTGATTTGTAATTTACCAGTTAATAGGTAAGAACGTCTTTAATCTATCACTTATGACCGAAATTTCACATAACTAGTCAGAGGGTCGGATCGGTTTCTCTTTTCTTCGAAAAAGGCAGTCAGCTGATGTTTTGAGCAATAGTCATGGCTAAGTAAGTTCATTTTCTGTTCTCCCTAATCCTATAATTCTATTAGCAACTAGTATATGTAAACAACTGTTAACTTGGTAATGAGAGAATTCGGCTTACAGGCTTGAAGTTCGATCTATTTTTTTTAACAGCATGGGTAGTACAGTACAAAAATTTGGTTCAAGCCCGGAAGTATAAATACTATAGTCGGTTAATCAGTAGCACCAAAAAATTACTTGTCGGTACCTAATCATTTAAGCAATGTTATTCTTACCGCAAATTGATAGTTAAAAACCCACAGATAAACACCTGATTTATGCTTCATTTATATCCGTTTCTGATATTCGACTTAGTGTTGTGTAAAGTATTTTACACTATCTTGGTACAAATAAAGAGTATCATAAAAATGCTAAAAATAAAATTATTTTAAGGCAGAAATTTTTTGAAACAATTACGAAGATCACTTCTCGGATTTCGTTTTGCAGCAAATCAGTAAACCATTGTTGATTGATGACTCATTTCAAAATAATCACCACTAAAATTCTTAACGAAAGCTATGATCTGTTGATCCATTTAAATCTTGAGTAAGTGTGATATTCTTTAAATGACGCTGAATGATGGTTTCTTAGTTGTGGTGAAGCTCCGGCACTAGGAAACATACCGTTGCAACCTGAAGGTGATCTAGTACCACTCTAGCACCACTAGTTCTTTGCTCGCTGTCAGTCTTCGATGATATATTCAATCATGCTATTGTGAGCGCATGTCTTAGACAGTACAAACTAATCACAAGTCAATAACAAGTTAAGACTGCAATCAGTCGACCTTTTTACATCCATATATGAAGACAACATATACCAAAAAAATCTTCACTTCAGATTCTGGAAGTCTCTTCAAAGTTTACAAGATCCTTAAAAGCGAAGGCGTTAAATTACGTAGGAGTGAAAGTGAAGCTTTTGTAAGTTCTTTCAAAAGCATCTGCTTCATTATCCAATTTCGGCTACGAAAGTCCCAAGTATTTAATGGAATCAAAATAGTCTGGGATGCATTTATATACTTCCATGTGAAGTCATGAGTGTCAACAGCTGGGACATCAGAAACATCAGGCTTTTACCGGTGGATAGCTTCACCTTATGCTAAAAACAACCTTGGAAAGGCAAGTGAGTCACTTCATCGATGGTATTACACTTTACAAATGATATGTCGACGATATTCTTGTCATATTACCACATTCTACAGATATTAATGAATTCAGTGATTTATTTAACGCGATTCACCCGGATCTGAAAGTCACTTATGAGGAAGAAAAGAATAATGAACTAGCTTTCCTCGATATCCTGCTCCATCGCCGTCGAAACGGATCAATCAGACGAAAAGTACACCGCAAACCCACCTGGTCGGGACAGTACCTCCACTTCACTAGTTTCTGCCCCATACAATATAAACGTTCTGTTGTCAAAACTTTATTCGCTCGAGCAAGTAGAATTTGCACTGCTGATACATTGAACGACGAATTCAAGCTTATTACTGAGACACAAATCAAACGGATATCCCGAAACGTTTATTGGTCATCAGAACACAACTACGACGAAGCTGATAGCAACTGATGTGCCCAAGAAACCAGTGTACCTTCAGTTACCTTTCAAGGGTGATCATTGAATGAAAATTACAACCAAACAGACTGCAGCTGCAATAAAAAAGACCTTCAATGCAGCTAATCTGAGGCTTATCACAACAACTCAATCGATCTCAGTTACCCCAATCAAGTCTCCAAGACCGATTCAGTCCAAATCTTACTGTATTTACCAATTCACATGTAACTGCGGAGAAAGTTACTTAGGTAGGACAGATCGCCGATTGGAGGACAGGATAGTAGAACATATTCCAAAATAGTTGATCAAATACATGATTCATCAACCTAACCCGTCATCTCAAAATCGATCAAGAAACCCAGCCTCGTCCATTACAAAACATCTAATGATAAGTGGTCATCAAATTGACCCAAAATCAGCCTTTAGAGTTGTGACATGCCATCAAAACCCACACACACTGAAACTACTCGAAGCTATCTTGATTGGTCGGAAAAGTCCAACTTTATGTGTTCAAAAACAACTGTATGTTGACCTTTGTTTACCATGGTTCTAGTGAGTGAATGTTATGCTAAATAAGAAATCTTGACCTCATCTTCAAAACTGTATTTACACAAATAACGTGTTGCTTGTATGTGAATGACGAGAAAGCACGAAATGGTACTTACTATCTCACAAA